TTGCTTGCTCTGTCTCAAAGATAAACATTAAAAAAATTTTTTTTAAATAAAAATTCCTTAAAAATTGGAGAACTTAATTTTCCTTGCTGGCCATACACAAACATGATGCATCATGTTATATGGACAGCTCCCCCTAAAAATCTTTGAAATGATGTAGACAGTCAGCCTGTAACATCCTCTGAAATGTTGATCAAGGTCTGGGCTGGCTCAAAACCTGAGAAAACCTTTCCTGGACTTCTCGGTTATTTGAAAAGAGGCACATTACTTAATATTTACCTGGAGTCTTGGGGGCACCTGTGCGGCTCAGTTTAAGCGTCAGACTCCTGGTTTCAGCTCAGATCATGAACTCGCGGTTTCATGAGCTCAAGCCCCACGTCAGGCTCTGTGCTGGCAGCATGGATCCTGCTTGGGATTCTTTCTCTCTCCCTCTCTCTCTCTGCCGCTCCCACACTTGCACTGTCTCTGTCTCTCTCAGAGAAAAGCAATTTATCTGGAATCTTGAATAAAGAAGTGAACATGAAATGCTAAGTTAGAGAGTAACAGTGTCTTTTGAGTTTTTTCAATGTTTTGCTCCAGAGACAAAGCCAAGTCCTCTTGTTCCCATTAAGATAAGACCACCCTCTGGAACAACCGTTCATCTCTCCCATCCGATGACTCTGACAAATGCCTTTTAGTCCTGGTTTCTATCACCAGTCTTCAGGCATCAACACGTATCTTTGCCACTTTCGCTTCAATAAATCTCCCCTCCCTGCTCTGACCTGTCTCCCTGGTTACATTTGAATCCATATTCCTTAGCTGCTCATTTGGTTTTCTACACCCAAAGAAAAGAAACTGTCCTCGGGGAAGCATTTCCATTGCACAAAGGGAGTCACTGACATTGTGTAGGAACCAAATAAACTGTCTCAAGGGTGACATGGGAGCAGAGAATGTCACAAAGACTTAAAACTCTGGGCTTTTTTTTTTTTTTTTTTAATTGGCCTTAGGTGGGAGAGGTTTGCAAGGATTAGCTGGTTCTGTGCCTTCCCGTTATGGATTCTGAAACACTAGCAGTTCCCAGGCACTATTTTCAGAGCTGTCCTGACACTTGTTAATAATGTTGGTGTATAAGGCTGTGCTCTTTTTAAACTCCTTTAGATACAAAGAAAATTAGCTAGTATGTGCCAGAAGGGAAAGGGGAGAAAATCCTGTTCTTGCTGTCAGAGAGAGAATGCTAAAGGCTGTAAGTAAAACTAAAGAGGCCTTTTCCCATCAGATTCAAATATTGGGGAGTGAAGTTTTCAGGTGAAAAACAAATACTCTGCCTTCTTGATGAACTTACTGGCAGCTTGCTCCTGGGCAGGGCCTAACATGCCCCTAGTTGGGCCCAGTTACTAACATCAATGCAAGGAAACATTTCTAATAAGATAAACTCCTGAAATTAATGTAGGGAAGTCTGATGGTTTTTGGCTTTCAAAAATGGTTGCCCCTAAATGCAACATAGGATTTTAAATTGCATTCTGGAACAGGAAAAGGACATTAATGGAAAATCTGGTGAAATCTCAAGAAAACCAATGGTTTAGTTAACAGTTTAATAAATGTACCATGGTTATGTAAGATGCTGGGGAAAGCTGTGTGAAGGATATCGGGCAACTTTCTATACTAGCTTTACGACTGTTGTGTAAATCTAGAACTACTCCCAAATAAAAGGGTTTAATGAAATGATGCCCCTTTAGTTGACTTGTCTCTGATCTCTGAAGAGCAGACACATAAGAGACCTCTGGCTTCTGGGGACAGCTTCCTCTGTACCTTCCCTTAGACTACAGCACGGGCAACCAGAGAGCATACTGGGAAGGGGAATGCTGGTGTCCTAAATGAGGCTGCGAGACAAGTAAGCAGTGTCTCAAAAGTGAGCTCAAACAGAAGCAGGCTGGGTCACCTTTGTTAATCATCTGCTCTTAGTAGGCGAGGCTTACCCTTGATGCATATCCATTTTATTCACTATTCATTAAGGATGAGGGGGTTTATTGTTCATTCAAAATAGTAACATCAAGAGTTAGCAAGAGAACTCCAAATTCAGACACTTTTCCTTAGGTATGGGGTACTGAATTGTCTTTTAGAAATTATTTGTGTGTATCCGATATAAAAAATTTGTTTATTTTACCCATACTAGATAAGGACTATAAAATTAAGGTTCTTAGAGTTAAGTATCTATCCTACCTTTTGTTCAACAAAGTTACTAAAGGATATGTTTTTCTCTCTTTTTTTAATGTTTATTTTTGAGAGATTGAGAGAGAGAGTGCACTCGCGCAGAGGGGCAGAGAGGGGGACAGAGGATCTGAGGCAGGCTCGTCATTGACAGAGTAGCTTCAGTGCAGTGAGCCAGATGTAGGGCTCAAACCCATGAACCACGAGATCATGACCTGAGCCGAAGTCAGAGCCTCAACTGACTGAGCCACATAGGTGCCCCTAGATTTTTCTCTTAAACACAGATATCCACTTTCAGAAACACACATACAGCCTCTGCGTAGTTATTTCCTTTTGCTAAGATGTGTAAAATATTATATTTGTATTTAAGCATTACTGTTTCAAGCATAAAGATGAAAATGCCCTTCTGGGGTTTCTTGAAGGATAGTGGAACAGAAGAGAACACATTTGCTCATTCAAAATAGTGATATCCTGAGTTAGCAACAGAACTCCAAATTCAGACACTTTTCTTTAGGTTTGGGGTATGGAATTGTCTTTTAGAAATTATTTCTGTGTGTATCCAGTATCTGTGTATACCAGATCACTGGGATTAAGTGATCTTTTTAACAAAAGGATGGTGGAGTGGCCTTTTTCTTGGAGGGTTTTGAGCTGAAAGTGAACAAGATGGGATTTATTTTTGAATAAGACCATCCTGGCTGCTGTGGAGCTAAGCCTTAAGATGGGGGGGCGGGGAGGGTGGCTGCAGGGAGGCAGTAGGGAGGCAACCACAACCATCCAGGCAAGACTGGAGGTGGGGAAGAGGTTGGTCAGATTCTGCAGGTGATTTGAAGGCAGACCCAAAAGCGGTAAGTAAGGGAGGGCCAAGAAGGCACCTAGGTTTTTGTCCTGTGTAATAGGGAGGGATGATGATGTCAGAAATGGAGAAGAGAAAAATTATAGGAGGAACAGACTGAGTCAGATTAGCTCAGTTTCAGCCATGTTAGGTCAGATGTTGACACAGCAAGGTCAAGTGGGTGGCTGGATGCAAATCTACGGTTGGAGGGAGGGGTCTGAGCTGGAGATCAAACTTGGGGTAGTCAACAGCACACAGATGGTATTTAAAGCTTGAGATGCGCGAGATGCCCTCCGAAGTGGGAATGGCGAGGAGAGACCCAAGGACTGAGCCTAGGGCTGTCTCAAGTTCAGAGGTCGAGGAGAGCAGGAGGAACGGACCCAGGAGACCAAGACTTGCCCCACTTCTCTGACAGCCCAGGTCATCCCAGGGAGAAACCTGAAAATGATGACGTCTTTATAAGTCATGAAGTCCAGAGTTACCTGGTAACAGCCTTAAGGGGAAAGGGCACACGTATCCCCCCTTGATTTTAAGAGCAATTTGGTACTTGAGTTGTTTGTTGACTCATTTGGAAAAATTCACCTCTTTGAAGGGACCAAAGAGTGATCCAAAAGCCTGATTTGGGGAGGACTGCAGGGGGACAGGGGTAGTAATTGACAGGCTTGAAGGCAGACTTGTAACTGGAAATAGGATTCAAAAGCTACTTGTAATCTATTCAAAATTTAAAACGGAATGAATTCTGCACATTGCATACCCACGTATTCCAGGCATGTGGCTCCTGTGCATTTTTTTTCCCCAATAAGAGAAAAAAATGGCAGCAGCCTGAGGACTGACTTTAAACACAAAGCTATCTGTGAAAACAGTGAATCCCAAAATTGAATAATATACTTTTCTCACTCTATGAATCATCTCTGGGGCCCTGGCTAGATGTAAATGCTGTGCTCGCCACGAGGTCCTACCTTTCTGGGACCCATCTCATTCCTACAGGGAATGTAGCTCATACTCTTGAGTCAGGTGCAAACAAAAGAGCAGCCACGGAAACACGGATTTAGTTGGGCATTGTTGTGGAATATGATCACAGACAAAATTCTCTGACAGCTCTGTCTGATTGTCTGTAGTACTCGAGTTACAGAAATAGTTACTTGTACAGAATGTATTCATGTGCTAAGTGGGTCATTTATTTAGCACCAAAATCAAATTATAAAAACATCGGTTCCATCTTAAAACATGCATTTCAAAAGCTGTTCTGGCATTCCAAGTTTGCATCGAGACATCTGCACAATCTGAATACCCAAACCCCTCTATGATTTCTAATGACAAAGACCATTCTCAGTCGTTATGGGAAACTGGTGTGGAGACAACTGCCCGTCAGATGGTGTCCCCCAGGGAACGATGTTTCTTACTCAGCCCGAGGTTTCTGCCTTGATCCCCAGGAAGAGTTTTGAGCTTGCTTAAACATGCTTAAACACATTCTCGGTAAACGGTCAGGAATCCTGTAGGTCATAATGCCACAAAATTGACCAAAGAGGAAGAACATAGTCAAGGTCTCCTGCCACTTACATTTGCCATGTTCAGCTTCTCAAACAGGGCTCTTCCTAACCAGCAATCCTAAAGTCCAGCTTTCAAAATAAGACGGCTTGGTTAACACCCTTTAATAACTACTATGCAGCTGCAAATGACTCCATGACAGCTTTTCTAGGGAGGGAATGGATTGCTGGGCGGGTGGCTCTAAAGATCTCAGGCGAGGGGCGCCTGGGTGGCGCAGTCGGTTAAGCGTCCGACTTCAGCCAGGTCACGATCTCGCGGTCCGTGAGTTCGAGCCCCGCGTCAGGCTCTGGGCTGATGGCTCGGAGCCTGGAGCCTGTTTCCGATTCTGTGTCTCCCTCTCTCTCTGCTCCTCCCCCGTTCATGCTCTGACTCTCTCTGTCCCAAAAATAAATAAAAAACGTTGAAAAAAAAAAATGAAAAAAAAAAAAAAAAAGATCTCAAGGCGAAAGAAAGCTCAGGTTAACCATTTCCCCTCCAGGCTGACCACAGAGTTTTGTGAAGCCCCGTCCCCAAAGCCCTGACTGCAGAGGAGGAGAGCAATGCTTTCTCTTTAGTAAAAGCCCTACCATTCATCTGTCTTATCATTTTCCTTCTTTATTCTTGGCAACTGTTTCTGGAAATTGGGGTGACTCCTCTCAGGTAAGACGCAGGAGACATTCACAAGTAAGGCCAGCATCCTGGAGGTGCTGTCCTCAGAGCAGCCATAAGGAAGATGTAGCAGTTAAGTTCAAGAGAACATTTGTGGGCAGATGGCCCATTTGTACCTGTCCTTTGGAGCAGCGAAAGTGGACATCGGAGGGTGTCACACTCCCGGATATAAAGGATCCCAGTTCCAATTGTATTATGATGCATGTGGTAACTGTATTTTACAAAAGACTTTGGTTTCTCCCCGGCTATGGGTCAGCAGGGTGGGAGAGTCTTATAAGCCATACAGGCCAGGGACTTCCTGTACCGCGTCCTTTCCCAAACAGATGGCACTGCTCCCGACACTGTTGTGGGAAATAAGCCATGACATGGCCCTTTACAAGGTCAACGAGGATCTATCAAGGACACACAGAGCAGTAACTCCACAAGGAGCAATTCTGTGTTCTTCTGACCTTCAGTCTTCCATATCCGTGAATTTTCTCTTCTTATAGTTCTGAACGAGGTTGGAAGCTGTGATCTGAGAAGCCTGCCCCTTCTCCCAACACTGAAAGTCATTCAGTCCTTTCTGCCCTGTTTGAAATAAGCCCCTCTCCATCTCGTCCAGCCTGGCTACCAATGCCGAAGTGTCTTCATTGTAAGTGTTCTGGGAGGAGTCCATAATGCGGCGGAAACGTCCAATGAATGTCTGAAGAAGGAATGAGTGAGAAAAATCAGATCCATTTTTCCCTGAACATTTAAATGTCATGAAGGGCAAAAGTTTGGTCTAGGACTCAGTCAGAAGGAGGTCTCAGGTGACTTTATCACTCGAGGAAGTGATTTCACATTGCCATGCCTCAATTTCCTCATCTGTGAAATGGACGGTTATGAATATCCAACAGGTTGTTATGGTAGCCAATGAAGGAATACATGTAGGACATCTAGCAACTGGCTGGCAAGAGTAATCTGCTCAAAAAGCGCTACCCATTAATTTGAGCCCTGCATTAGGTTCTGCGCTGACAGTACGGAGCCTGCTTGGGATTCTCTCTCTTCCTCTCTTTCTGCCCCTCCCCACCCCCCACCAAAAACATTAAAAAAATTAAAACAAAAAAAAAAAGGGTTACCCATTATTGTTATTACTAACAAAGGCCACAATAATCTACTGTGACACGCACAGATAAGTTTGGACCAGAAAAGACTCCTAATCTAATTGAGTGCATTTTATATCTTTTTCAGTGTGAGAGTAGGATAGAGACACAAATGACTGAGGGTTGTCATTTTACCACAGGGCCCTGAGACCAAGCCACAAGCCCCTGCCTCAGTTTCTTCAATTGCCTCATGGAGTTATCACCTTACCGATGGGCAGCTTTACAGAACTTGAAAGCAGTGATGGAAAAAGGAAAAATATAACTCACTAACAAAGGGCACTGTTCCAATTCAAGGACATGTCCTGGAGACACTGTAAGACAAATAAATGGACTTTCCCTATTTTTAGCTTTCCGCTCAAAAGAGTTTCATAAGCTCAAACTGTCTCTAGTCTATGTATTGATTTCCTTATCTCAGTGGATGGCAACAATGTTTTTCTTTACTATTTACATCAAAAACCATTCCAGTACATGTTAGGCCAAACAACCCTTGAGCCTGATGGAGGGTGTCTATATAGTCTAGGGAGGAAACGTGTCTTCAGCTGAAGTTCTTATAAAGCTAGAAATGAGGAAGTAAAATAAGAGGTAGAAAGGGTAGCTTCTCCTAATATTAGCAAAAAAACCCCAATTATGGGGGTGCCTGGGTGGTTCAGTCAGTTAAGTATCTGACTGGCTCAGGTCATGATCTCACGGTTTGTGGGTTCAAGCCCTACATCGGTCTCTGTGCTGACAGTTCAGCGCCTGGAGCCTGCTTTGGATTCTGTGTCTCCCTCTCTCTCTGCCCCTCCTCCACTCAGGCTCTGTCTCTCTCAAAAATAAATAAACATAAAAAAAGTAATGATTATGAGACGTTAAAATAAGGTTATGTTGTAAAGGATAGTAATATGGGTATAACATTGTTTTGTCCGTGGAAAACGACAGTAATAGTTACCATTTGTTAAATGGCACCACCTAATCTCACTACGATGCAATAATTTTGGCACTATTGTTATCTCCATTTAACAGGTGAAAAATGGAAGCCTATAGAGGTCACGCAGTTCGTACATAGCAGAGCCATGATTTAGCCCCAGAGCAAGGGACGGGAACAAATAACACATGTACTCCTGACGGGAGCCCTCAGACCAGTCTTGGGGCTGCGCCGGGCTGGTGTATTTAAGTGCCTGTCACCTATAGTCAACCATCATCTCTCTTATTTCCAGGCCTTCCTGTGGCCCCAACTCTTAACAAACAAATATGAAGAGCTACAGACAAGTCATTTTTTTTTTAAGTCATTTTTAAGTAAATATATAATTGGCAAATGCAGTCTAACTGTAGGCCGCTGTGGAATAACGAATAAACTGAGCCGTATACATGATACACTCCCTGGGTAAGGGTGGAGGCTGGTGGCTCCTAAGGTGTGTGTGGTGCCGTAGGGTTTTCACATCAATTACTTGCCTGCAGGAGAGACTGGGAGATGTCTGCATTCTCGGGACTGTCAAAATGCAGGAGTTGGGAGCCAAACCCATAGAAATGCGGCCCCAGTTTGTGGAGGTCCACCACGTTGGCATCGGCGCTGAACACGGTCCTCCAACCTTGCTGGTAGATCTTGGGAAGGTCCACAGAAAGGATCCGCCGCTTGTGGTCAAAAAGTCCCTTTGCCAGCCACAGGGGGAGTTCGAGCTTTGAGCCCTGCATCACACAGGAATGTAGGTTTTAAAAGCAAATAGCGTAATAAATGTGTGTGGCAATACACAGAAATACAAGTTGCCCGAGCAGGCATCTGCTGCCTGTTCTGTTTGGGGGCGTGGCTCCCAAAAGCAGAAGAAGGTTGTGACTTGAAGAGATGAACTGCATGGGCTGAAGTTTTACATCATAATGGAATGGTGAGAACAACGGTTTTTGTTCAACAGAAGCACAGTACGGAACAAAAATGTGGTACAAAGGGGAAGTTTTCTAACTCACATAAATAAAAACTTCTAATTGCAGATACTTCAGAAGTATAATAAATATTTCTGGGGGTGCCTGGGTGGCTCAGTTGGTTGAGCATCTGACTTCGGCTCAGGTCATGATCTTGTGGCTCGATGAGTTCAAGCCCCGCGTCAGGCTCTGTGCTGGCAGCACACAGCCTGAAGCCTCCTTCAGGTCCTATGTCTCCATCTCTCTCTGCCCCTCCGCCGCTCACACTCTCTCTCAAAAATCAATGAACATTAGAAAAATACAAAAATAAGCATTTCTGCTTTCTTTAAATATTCCATACCTGTTCCTCATACGCGCTCACTGGAGGCCTACTACGCACTAAGCACCACTAGGTACTGGGCAATATATGGAAAAACACCATCAGCCTGAGCTCAGGCCACAGCCCCTCTCCATCCCACTTCATAGCTTCAGAGAGGACAGTAAAGATACACATCTCTCTATATTTTTAAAGCCTTAACAGAACTGGAAAATATAATGAGGTGGCCATGACAGACCAGAAATGAAGAGAAATATCCAAAAAAAAAAAAAAAGGCCAAATATAACTGAGTTGAAGGCATCTGCAGACAGAAAGTGTGCAGAAAGTTAACACAGCAAGCCTCAGACCGCCCTCCTTAGAGGGGCCTGCCTGCAGAGTTGATCCTTGGTGGGTGTCCTGGAACTTGGGTTTCAGGAGGGTTCCCACTCTTCTCAGAGTGGATAGGAGTGCCTCACTGTGCTTATGCAGTTTGCACAAACAATGTGGCTTATGCTGAATACCTGCTTTCCTTCTGGGAGTCTGGAATCTTGGAATGTGTTCGGTAGAATGCCTGTGTAACTAGCCCTCAGTACGACCATGGGTACTGAGTCTCTAATGAGTTCCCAGGTACACATATTTCACCCATGCTGTCATAATGCGTTACTGGATATTCCAGTGCATCCTGTGCGACTTCGCCCGGATGGACAGGGCTCTGGGAAGCTTGTGTCCAGCTTCTTGCAAACTTCATCACACACACCCTTTTTCCCTTTGCTGTTTTTGCTCTGTATCCTTTTACTGTATTAAAATTTAAACATTAATATGACTAGATGCTGAGTCCTGTGTGTTCTCTTAGTGAATCATCAAACCTGGGGCTGGTCTTGGGGAACCCTTGAACAAACCGAAATGGAAACTTTATCACTAGAAGACACAGACTAAGGAAATCTTGAAGGGAGAATGAAAATGATCCCAGAAAGAAATATGGAAACGCAGGACACAAACTAAATAGTAGGAAGGAAAAAACCCCCACAAATATATCAATAATTACGTTAAATGTAAACAAATTAAATACAACTGAAAAACTGTCAAACTGAAAAAAAACAAAACCTAACCATACGCTGCTTAAAAGACACATATTTGAAGTATAAAGACACAGAAAGGTTGAAAAAAATGCCATAAAAATAGTAATCAAAAGAGAGAAGCAGACTGGAGATAAAACGGACATTTGACAATAATAAAAGGGTCATTATATCCACAAGAAAAAGACAGATACCTGTCTAAACTGAGAGAAGTAAAAGGAGAACTGGATGAATCTATAGGCATAGTGGAAAACTTTGGTCTATCTCTCTAGATAAATGAGGAGCAGGAAAAAAAATATCAGTAGGAATATAGAAGATCTCAGCAAAGCAAACAGCAAACTTGACCTAACTTCCAATATTTACCACACACCGTTGACTTCAGAATACACATCTGGCCAAGTGCATATGGAATGGTTAAGATGATCTTATGCTGCAGTATAAAGCAAGCCTTAACTTACAAAAGACTGAAATCATTCAGGCTATGTTCTCTGACACTGGTGGAAAGAATTAAGCTAGAAATCAAAACCAAAAAAGATGAAGAGCTAAATCCTAATATATGTGGAACTAAGCACTGGTCTTCTGAATAACCCATGAGTCAAAGAAGAACTCACAATAGAAATTAGAAATTATTTTGAACACATGGATATGAAAATAAAATACAACAAATCAAAACTTGTGGAACGCATTGAAGCTGTGCTCAGAGGAAATGTATTGCTAAAAACATGCATAAGGGAAGGTTGAAAAATCAATGACCTGGGTACCCAGCTCAAACGGCACAGGCAGGGTTGGGGGGAGTGGGGGTAACAATAGAAAATTAAGTCCAAAGAAGGTAGAAGGAAAGAGTAACTTAACGACCTAGAAAACAACAGTACAAAAGAGGAAACTGACAGAGCCCTAAGTTAGTTCTTTTAAAAGAACTAATACAATTGATCAATTCCTAGCAAGACTAACGAAGAAAGGGAGCATAATTTCTCCATATCAAGAATAAAAACCAAGACATCAATATAAATCCTACAGATGTAAAAAAGATAGTAAAAGGATATTTTGAACATTACACCACTACCTTTGAAAATTCAGATGAAATTGTCAAATTCCTAGAGGAGAAAACAATGTACCAAGAGTAACACAGGAAGAAAATAGCAAGTCTGAATAGTCGTTTATCTCTGAATGACATTAAATGTTGTCATTACAAAGCTTCCCGCACAAATCTCCCACAAAGAATTCCAAATACTTTATGTAGACACTCTACCCTCAAATAAGTACAGTATAAGTCCTATTCCTTAAGTGAGACTGTGCATAATGACTCCTTCCCAAAGAGAACAGTATGGAAAGGTGGAAAAAGGAGTAACTTCATAGTGAAGAATCCTGACAAACACTACCCCAGCTGGGTGCTCGAGGCTCTTATCAATGTGATAAGTCATGCTAACAGTCTGTGCCCTTGATATGATGTGACCTCTGTGATCCTCCTCAAAACCTATCACTGCAGTCTAACCACAGGAAAAGTTCAGACAGGGTGCCCGGGTGGCTCAGTCCGTTAAGCATCCGACTTCCCTTCAGGTCACGATCTCACGGTTCATGAATTTAAGCCCTGCATCAGGCTTCCCTCTAACAGCGTAAAGCCTGCTTGGGATTTTCTCTCTCTCTGCCCCTCCTCTGCTTGTGCTGTCTCAAAATAAATAAATAAATAAACAAACAAACAAACAAACTTAAAAACAACAACAACAACAACACATCAGACAAATCCCAACTGAGGGACATTCTACAAATTACCTGACCAGCACTCCACAGAACCACCATGGTCCTCAAAAACAAGGAAAGTCTAATAAACTGTCACAGCCAAGAGCAGCCTAATTAGATATGATACTAAATGCAATGTGGTAAACTGGATGGACATTAGGGGGAAGGAAGGCAATATGAATAAAGTACCGGCAGTGCGTCTCTGTTTACCAATGTGTAAGAGGACAAAAATCCTTACCTGTTATAACGAAAAGTCAATAAATAATGGCTTAATTTTTTTAAATCAAGAAAATAAGCTTAAGACTATTATTTAAAAACACAGGGGTGGGGCGCCTGGGTGGCTCAGTCGGTTAAGCGGCCGACTTCGGCTCAGGTCAGATCTCGCGGTCCGTGAGTTCGAGCCCCGCGTCAGGCTCTGTGCTGACCGCTCAGAGCCTGGAGCCTGTTTCCGATTCTGTGTCTCCCTCTCTCTCTGACCCTCCCCCGTTCATGCTCTGTCTCTCTCTGTCTCAAAAATAAATAAACGTTAAAAAAAAAATTAAAAAATTAAAAAAAATAAAAACACAGGGGTAAATCTTGAGGATACTATTTTTATTTTCTTTTTAGTGAGATAGAGCAGGCGAGCAGAGGAGAGGGGCAGGAGAGAGAATCCCAAGCAGGTTCCACGCTCAGCTTGGAGCCCAATATGGGCCTTGATCCCATGAGACTGGGATCACGACCTGAGCCAAAATCGAGAGACCGAGCCTCGGCTGACTGAGCCACCCAGGCGTCCCTTTAACTATTTAAAAAGTGGACAGACGAGTGATCAGAAACCCCGATCCTTAAGTAGTCAGTAGTAACCAATCCTTAAGCTTTCAACATACTGGGGGGGGGGGGGGGGGGGGGGAGACACTGCTCACTTTGGGCAGTTTCAAAAACGAAACCAGCGGCCTGACGACCTAAGATAAACTTAGTTTCACACTGGGGGCGAAGGCCAAAAACACACTTCAGAGAACTGAGACCCGAGACCCGCCGATACAACTCCTTAAAGCGTAGGACCGGGCTTCCCCCTAAAACGACAAATCCTGCGGGGCAGCGCGCCCGCGATGCGGGGCCCAAGGCCGCGAGGCACACTGGGAATTGCAGTCTTTCTCGGGGAATCTGTCCCTAAATGCTTACCTGAGGAATCGTATGGTCAGTCTCGGCACCTCCGCTCCGCTCCAGGAAGAAAGCCCCGAGGCGAGGCATGGGGGTCTCTGTGCGAACCGGGAGCTTCTCGTGGGACATCAGGATGTCGTCCAGCGACAGAAAGTTCTCCTCAGGCCCGAGTGCACCCGACTCCACCCGGAAATAAGCCTCGGACATGGCGGCGGCGGCGGCTTCAACTTCTCCGCTTCCACTCGTGTGAGGCTAGGAGTCCGGGATGTAAAAAGCAGGAGAAAGCGGAGGCAGGCCCGGGTTGTGAAGGGTAAGGAGGTCGCTGCGACAGCTAGCCGGAATTGAAATTTTTCCCGCGCCGGGGACGCGCCAGACTGGAGCAGTCGATCCAAGAGGTCGGCCCAGGCAGAAGCAATAGACAGTCTGCGGACTTGGTCCCACGTGATCAGGGGCGGGGCGCATTAGGAACCGCGCTCGAGATTTCCACCTGCAGGGTGTAAGCTGGATGTGGGCACCTTAACAAGGAGCTGGAAATGCCCGTTGAAGTTGCTGGATGCATCTGTACTAGATTGTGTTCATGTGGCCCTTTATATGTTTATATGAAATTAAAAACGCTTTGCAACACGTTTGGGGGCTTATAAAAAGACATTACTGTGGCCTCCGTCTCAGGCCTGATCAAGTCAGACCTGTTTACTGTAGTTTTGTCACTGTATCTGTTAATCTTCGTGCTTGAAAGAAACATGAAAACAAAACCTCCAGCACTAGCCCCAGATAGTTATGGACTATTTGTAGTATTTGGCGTTGATAAGGGAAGGAGGAGGAGGAGCACTAGACTACCCCTGGTTCCCAAAGTTCCTGAGTTTACTTCAGGGCCTTACCATCGGCTGGCAATCTCCTTTCGTGGCTCTTAATTTAAATCCTTAAAAGAGGAAATCTAATTGGCTCAGTTTGTCTTTTTGAACAAGGTCACAACAGTCATACGTTGCCAGCCACCCTATAGATTGGATGGGTGCCTGTTGCTTGTGTAGTTGTGGGAGAAGGGTAGGGAAGGGATCATGGTTATTGGAAAATTAATGAAGAGAAACCTCACTAGAATGGAGTCGGGAGGTTCAGCAGGGGTAGCTCTCATGCCCTTACCACTCTTTGTTAATTGCAAATCCAACAGGGAAAGAGGGAACTTGCACCCGGATACAATTTTACCACCTGGGCAAGAGGAAGAAAGGCTTTCCTCCAAAGGTCCAGCCATGAGAAGCCACTATACTTTGAACTCCTACTATTTTACTCCAGTGAATTTCTTGTTCCAACAGTCTTCCCAATTTCCCTACCTCCTCTGTAGAAGAACCAACTCTCCTTTGTTCTCTGGACTTGTCTATGGTTTTGCTGTAGTTTTCTTGCCCTGGATGGCAATTCTCTGCTATTCCCGGATAAACCTATTTTTGCTAGTAAAGTAACTGGCAGTTTTATTTTTAATATAAACAGTTACATGTTACCATATTTGGGGGTGCTATTCAATCATGGCTATGAGTGGTGGAGAGTGTTGAGAAATACAGTGTAGAACTTCATACAGAAGGGTCTTTTCTGGGGTTAGAGCTATAAGCAAAGGGTTCATGGGAAGGAGATGTGTATCAGTCCATCTTTCTTATTCCCTGCTTTTTAGGATACTGTGACATCTATCCCTTTTAGGGTGGGATAATTCCTAGAGTAACAAACAACTTGCCTGTGAACACACCTTACATTAACCAAACAATCGAAAGCCTATACCCCAACCACCTCCTTTAACTCTCACACACCAAGGCAACAGTTACCCTGCCTTAAATCACCCCAGGGCCAAATACTGGATAATGAGAGACCACCCTTAAAGCCCAGAGTCCACTAACATTCAAAGTACCCCATCCTAAGCTCACTCAAATTTGCCTACTATGCCTCACCCATTCCTTCCCACAGAAACCACAATAGAGGCTCTGGGTCATGTTCTCCTCTCCTTTTGCTTCCTTACTGACCCTGTGCGGCTTTGGATGGAACGATGTACTTCCTTCTCTTGGGAACTGGGAGCAATAAGACTTCTTTCAATGGCACTGACCACTCTGTCATTACTCAGTCACCCTTACAAATGAAATCCTGGTGTAATCAAAACAAGAGGCCATGGGGGAATCAGGGCCAAACTGTGGAAAGCCTTGGGTGCTAATGAGTTGAGGCTATTCCACAGGAAATAGGAGAAGAAAATGTAAGATTTTTTTTTTTTTTAGCATGTGATAACATAAATCTGAGCTTTAAGAAGAGAATTCTGGTAGTGGGGAGAAGAAGGGAGAGATTAGATGCAGGGAGGCCAGTTTGGAAGCTGTTCAGTGGGAAATTCCTAGCAACTAATTGGAAGGAGAAAGTGAAGAGTAGAGAGAGGTCAAAGATAATTTAAGCTTTTTACCTGGTTGACCAGATGGATGGAGATGTCACTAACAGATAGATATACAGAGCACAGGAATATGGGCAATTTGGGGTAAAAGGTGAGTTTGGTCTGGTACTCATGGAGTCCAGGAGCCACTAGACAGGTCTGCAGCTCTGTGGAGACACCAGTCTTGAACCTTTAGTTAGGTATCTATGGAGAGGTAGTTGCAGAAGAGTCCTTTCCTTTATCATATTTGAAATGTTCAGTTTGCTGCACTATCCAATATAAAAGTAAACATAAATCATAGTGAAAATTTATAATTTGTTGAAATGGCTAGAAATGTGTTCATTTGTCTAATTGAAGGCAGTGAGGGTACTTTACTGACAAGGTGCAGTAAAGCTGTTTTTTATGTTGAAACAGCTAAGATGGATCCTTAATAACATCGATGCCAAGAAAGGCATTATTTTTGTGCAGAGACCATTGGCTCTAAACCTAAACACCGCAGCTATTTTAATAGTAAAGTAACAGGCCAGTGTTTAAGATAAAATCAGATTACCTTGTTTTTCTTCTGTGATGTCTTGGCTCACCATGAAACTAATTCACTGCTTGTATACTTTTGCTCTCTTTAATCTGCCCTCTTCTTGAACTCCCGAGTGAGCCAGAAAAAGTGAAATTAAAGTTTGAGCTTCTGATGCTAAATAATTGCATTAATTCATCTGACAAAAGTGGTACATAATTTATCCAGTATAGACCTGTTTGTAGCCTAAATTTTAAGAGCCAGGAATGTTCCTTTTCTCATGAAATCTTGGGTTCCTTACCACCCAGCCAATCAATCTATGTACCAGAATTGCACTAGACAGAATTTCAGCATATTTATGATATTCAGAGTGCGTTCAGTATGTTTACAAAATATAGAACTTCAGGATTCCAAAGATGTCTGCTGGATCCCTGAAAAAAAACACTAATTTTCCCAGTGCAATCATTTCAAGATTGCAGCACAGTGGCACACACACAGACTTCAGATAAGCAAAACCACAAAACAGCTTTAAATCTGTTCTTTTGAATACTGGGTGCTTTCTAAATTTCTTCCACTGAGTGGGGAGGCTGTGATGTAAGTGACAGAACTCCAGATCCGGGGGATGGGGGAGGATCTTTGGGGGAATAAAAGGAAAAAAAAACAAACCAAAAAACCAGAAATGTGTTGGACTCCATCCTTCCAGTTGCTTCCTAGGCCAAAAGTTTTAGGGTTTTTCTTGATTCCCCTCCCCTTACCTTCTATAACTGTTCCATCAGCAAATGTTCACTCTGCCTTCATAATATTTTATTTTTTTTTATGTTTAGAGAGAGCGAGAGAGAGAGCGAGTGAGCGAGTGAGCATGAGCGGGGGAGGGGCAGAGAGCGAGGGAGACACAGAATCCGAAGCAGGCTCCAGGCTCTGAGCTGTCAGCACAGAGCCCGACGTGGGCCTTGAACCCATGAACTGCGAGATCATGACCTGATGAGCCAAAGTCAGACGCTTACCCGACTGAGCTACCCAGGTGCCCCTGCCTTCATCATATTTCCAGAATTTGATTATTTCTCATCACTGTGGTCCAAACCAACATTATCTCTTGCTTGGACTTTTGTAATAGCTGCCCGTCCAGTCTTGCTTCAGCCCACGACCTCCTTATTGTTGAGAGCCCCAGACACACTCATTTCTTAGGGCCTTGCACTGTCTTTTCCCACTTCCTGGATTGCCTTTCTGTTGGATTTCCACATGGGTGGTCCCTTTAGTCTTTATTTAAGAGTCATCTTCTCATTCAGGCCTTCCCTCACTGCCCTATCCAAAATCTTAGCCCTCCCCAACTGACAGCTGATATCCCCCTCCTTTTTTTCCTTCAGCATTTATCACTCTCTTATGTACTATTTGTTTTACCTTTTTAACTTGTTTATTGTCTGTCACCCCTACTTGAATATTAGCTTCATGAAGACAGGGATTCTTTTTGGTGTATTTTTCATGACTCTATCCCCACTACCTCGTGCATGTCAGGCACTTCCTAAATACTTGCTGAATGAATTAGTGGTTCTTTACTTATAGCAGTGATATTATTTTCCTTTAAAACATTAACCAAAAAACAATTTCAAGTAAATAATAGTATGAGTGATATGCACATATTACAACAGTCACAAAGGGTAGTAGTGAAACACTGAAAACACTGAATTAAAGTGGTACAAAATGGGGGCGCCTGGGTGGCCTAGTTGATTAAGCATCTAACTTCGGCTCAGGTCATGATCTCACAGTTCATGGGTTCAAGGCCCACGTCGGGCTCTGTGCTGACAGCTCAGAGCCTGGCCCCTGCTTCAGGTTCTGTGTCTCCCCCTCTCTCTGCCCCACCCCTGCTCATGCTTGCTCTCACTTGCTCTCTCTCTCTCTCTCAAAAATAAATAAACATTAAAAAAAATGAAGTGGTACGAAATAGTTTGCCAACCTACAGGCTAGGTCACATAATCTTCTAGAGCCGTGAACTTGTCATTGATAATACTCTGAAGAAAACTCACTGATTGGGCTCCACTAATTTAAAGTTGTTGAAGTTTTGGTAGAATTATACTGAATTTGGCAACTCTTTCTGCCCATGGATCCTGTTCCCATGCTTTCATAAAAACACCTTTTTGCACTGGGGGAAAAAAAAAGAACTATACTGAATTTTACCTTCCCACCCACTGTAAATATGGAATGTTTAAGCAAAAGGAGCAAACAGGATGTAAAATGGCTTAGTCCCCTACCCACAGAACTTTTTCAGCAGCCATTTATATTCAGCTGCTGTGTTCCTTCCAGAATCCAACAGGCCTGGGTAGAGTCCGACTTGCACCTCTTCAGTTGGCTTTGTGACCTCGGGGGGAGTTATCTGTCTGAAGCTTAGCTTCTGCACCTATAAAATGGGGACAATAATGGTAGGAGTGTAACAAAAGGGCCAATATAGGCAGAGCTCTTAGCTCAGGGCCTGACCCATACATAGCAAGGGCTCAGTAAATCTCCTTTTTACCATCACTAT